TTTCCTTCCAAGGAGTAAGTGTCTTTTAATTTCATGGTTGCAGTCACCATCTGCAGTGATTTTGGAGCCCCCAAAAATGAAGTCTGACACTGTTTCTCCATCTATTTCCTATGAAGTGATAGGACCAGATGCCATGATCTTAGTTGTCTGAATGTTAAGCTTTAAGACTTTACATATATCTAAAATCTGAATTTGTTACTAGCATATTGTCACTACAAGAAGAAAGAAAAGAAGTCCTTCAGGCAGAAGAAAAAAGTTATTCCAGATGGAAATGTGCATCTTACAAATGAATGAATGGAGAGCACCAGACGTGGCAAGCACATGAATAAGTATATTAGACTTTTTCCCCTAATTTTTAAATCTCTATAAAATATAATTGATTAGTAAAAGCAGTAATGTACTGTAGGTTTACAACATAAGTAAATGTGAAATGTATTACAATAGTAGTACAAAGATGGAGGTGTGGAATGAACATATACTGCTGTAAGGTTATTATACTGAATATAAAAATGACATATTTGAAAGTAAATTATAATAAGTGAAAGATGTACACTGTAAACTACAGAAAAATCACAAAAAACAAAAATCCCACAAAACCCAGAAAAAAAGCCAAACCAAAAAACAAGCCAATAATAGAAAATGAAATCATAAAAACATAATCCAATTGAAGGACAGAAAAGAAGGAAAAGGTAACAAAACGCAGAAAAAAAATAACAGGCACGTGGTTACTATAGATCGAATGTTTGTGCCCCTCCCCCAATCCGTATGTTGAAAGTTAATACTCAGCGTAATATTTGGAGGTGAGACCTTTGGGAGGTGATCTACTAGTTTGAGGGTAGAGCCCTTATAAATGTGATTAGTGGCTTTATAAATATACCAGCAAATTTGGAAAACTCAACAGTGGCCACAGGACTGGAAAAGGTCAGTTTTCATTCCAATCCCAAAGAATAGCAATGCCAAAGAGTGCTCAAACTACTGCACAATTGCACTCATCTCATGTGCTAATAAAGTAATGCTCAAAATTCTCCAAGCCAGGCTTCAGCAATACGTGAACTGAGAACTTCCAGATGTTCAGGCTGGTTTTAGAAAAGGCAGAGGAACCAGAGATCAAATTGCCAACATCTGCTGCATCATTGAAAAAGCAAGAGAGGTCCAGAAAAACAGCATTTCTGCTTTATAGACGNTGAAACTCCAATACTTTGGCCACTTCATGTGAAGAATTGATTCATTGGAAAAGACTCTGATGCTGGGAGGGACTGGGGGCAGGAGGAGAAGGGGACAACAGAGGATGAGTTGGCTGGATGGCATCACTGACTAGACGGGCATGGGTTTGGGTAGACTCCGGGAGGTGGTGATGGACAGGGAGGCCTGGTGTGCTGCGATTCATGGGGTCGCAAAGAGTCGGACATAACTGAGTGACTGAACTGAACTGCCCTTATAAAAGGGGCCCAAGAGAGCTTACTTACCCTCCTGCATCATGTAAGGACTCAGTGAAAATGTAGTAGTCTATGAACCAGGAAGTGGGTCCTCACCAGATACTTTAATCGTGGAGTTCCCATCCTCCAGAACTGTGAGAAGTAAATTCCTATAACTTGTAAGTCATCTAGTCTATCATATTTTGTTTAAAGCAGTCTAAATCAAGACAATGGTAGATTTAAAACCAACTGTGTTGATAATTGCTTTAAGTGTAACTAGGCTAGCCACCCAATTTAGATGGCAAAGGTTGTCAAAAGCAAGACCCAACTATACAGTGTCTACCAGAAACCCTCTTTAAATATAAAGATGTAAAGATGTAAATTTAAGTACAAAGATAGAAAAATATACACCATGCTGAAATAAATTTTATAGTACCAGACAAATTAGATTTTAGGACAAAGAAGATTGGGGATCAAGAGTCATTTCATAAAGATAATCATTTCATCAACAGTTAAAAATTCTTAATATTTAATAATAGAGTTTTTAAGCACTTTAAATGAAACTTGATAGAATGAAAATGAAAAATAACAGCTACATAATTCATAGTTGAGGATTTCAACATCCTGCTCTTAATAATTGATTATAATTAATTATTCTTTTTGTTTAACAAAAGTTAAATATATTTTGTTCTGGACACTGTTCCTTCTCTTCTGCTCAACCCTTTGTATAGGAAGCAAACTAAATTTTAGCTCTGCTATATCTATATAGAGATCCTAAAGAGCATCAGAAACAAAAGAAAAAGCCCAGTTGAAAGAGAAACTCAAGAGACAATTGAACACCAGCTTTGTGTACTTAGGAGGCTGTCGGTCTGTTTTTGTACTATAAACCCAGTTTCTTTATTTTTAGGAATGATGTTTTAAAGATTGTAAGGGGAAGGAGACCAGTGCCTTCTTCTGTGATGATCACAAAATCTAGCATGTATAAGGTGGAATATAGTGAAATGATTAATCACAGCAGATTTGGGTCAGGAAAAATTGTTTGATAGCTGTGGAACCTTGAAAGTCACTTAATTTCTCTGGCACCCAGTTTTCATTATCTGTAAAGTGAGGATAATAGTGCTGTATTCATTTATTTGTTGTTGTTCAGTCACTAAGTTGTGTCCAACTCTTTGTGACCCCACGGACTGCCGCACGCCAGACTCTGTCCTCCATTATCTTCTGTAGTTTGCTCAAATTCATATCCATTAGACATGATGCTATCTAACCAACTCACCCTCGGCTGCCCTCTTCTCCTTTTACATTCAATCTTTCCCAGCATCAGGGTCTTTTCCAATGAGTCAGCTCTTTGCATCAGGTGGCCAAAGTATTGGAGCTTCACCTTCAGCATCAGTCCTTCAAATGAATATTCAGAGTTGATTTCCTTTAGGACTGACTGGTTTGATCTCCTTGTGGTCCAAGGGACTCTGAAGAGGCTTGTCCAACACCACAATGTGAAAGCATGGTCTTTGGCATTCCTTTCTTTAGGGTTGCCAAAATGATCACAAACCAGGTGGTTTAAAACAACAAAGATTTATTGTCTTATAGTTTTGTTGGAGGCCAGAAATCCAAAATTAAGGTATTAGCAGGTCCCTCTGAAGTCTCTAGCAGAGAATTATTCCTTGCCTCTTCCGGTTTCTTATCATCCAGGGTGTCCCTTGACTTGTGGTAGTAAAATTCCATTCTCTGCCTTTGTCTTCTCTTCTTAGGACACTCGTCATTGGATTTAGGGTCCACTTAGATTGGGCAGGATAATATCATCTTGAGATCCTTAGTTTCATATTCAAAGATGCTTTCCCCAAATAAGATTACATTCAAAGGTGCCAGGTATTTAGATGTGGACACACTTTTTTGGGGCGAGGGGTACATCATCATTTAACTGACAAGCACTTACCTAAAAGTGTTGTTTTATGCCTTAAATAAGATGACTTCTCTAGAGTATCTATCC